TGGCCGTACATACAACTATGACTACTATCTTGCGGATGGCATCTACCTAAAGTGGCAAACATTTGTGAAGCCATTGAAAAAATCGGAAGGTAAGAAAAATCTTGATTTCCACAATGCTCAGGCGGCGGCTAGAAAAGATGTGGAGAGAGCTTTTGGGATTTTGCAAGCCCAATTTGCTATTGTGAGAGGACCGGCTAGATTTTAGGATCAAAAGATGCTTTGGTACATAATGCACGCTTGTGTGATCATGCATAGCATGATCATCAAGAATGGCGTGGCCAAGATGTGGACTACTCTCATTATGAGCTCTTGGGACATCCCGTGCGAGTGCGGCGGGGGGCTGAAAGGTGGTCCGTTTTGTTGCCTCCTATCATGTCATTCCACGTCCGACAGCGCATGATGATCTTCAGAAGGATCTCATTGAGAAGTGGTGGGCTTGGAAGGACCGCCAAAAAGCATCATGATTTGTGCGTTTGATGTTGTATTGTTGAACTATTTGTTGTATTGATGAAAGATACTATTTGTTTGAGTTGTAATAATAAATTAAACTATTTATTGGTGATTTATTTTGCTTGTGTTTGATATTCTTGCTTGTGTTTGGAGCGCATATGTTGTTTGTGCGAGAGCGCGCTGCATTTTAGCGCGCCTGATGGAGCTACCCGCGCGCTGCATTTTACCGCGTTCGCTGGAGCCAGCGCTACGCACCGCGGCAAACCAGACAATCAGCGCGTTGCAAACTGATTTTTAACGTGTCGCGCGTTGGATGACTATTTAAGATGCTCTAAGCACTACCCAACAAACACAAACACAACTCAACCCAGCGGACTCAACGCAGCGCCCAGTGCGCACGTACGCACTCAACGGAGCGATTCCCCCGGCCACGCGCACAACACACTCTACGTGCAGGACGCAGCCTGCTCCACAGATCGCTGCTAACTGCCTAGCTGCGAGCCCGTGACTCGACCAGCGCGCACCCGACTTGGCCCACCGACGCCGGTCGCATCGCCACGGACCCGACCTAGCGCACTGACGCCGGTCACACCATGCTTCGTCACGGCTTATTCCCAACAACAGTTGCAACTTGGCTCACTAGGCCTTTCTCTCCAATTAATATGGACTATATATGTCTTTTAAAGTACAGATTTATTCATTTTGCATCGTATATAGTCCATATTAAGATCTCTGAAAAGATTTATATTTTGAAACGAAGGGGTATTAGATTAAGCGCCAGTGCAAAAACCCATCCCCATGTTGTTGTTTTTTTCTTTTTTTGAAAGGTGGAACACCCCTGGCCTATGCATCAAAGCGATGTATGTAGCCATTTTATTATATTATTGCACAGAACCCAACAAAACAAATGCATGGATCAATCTGAAGCCGCTACACCTACAATCTTGATGACATATCTAACCACATATCAACACACCACATCTATTCCAGTGGCCTCAACAAGCCGCCTGCTGGCAGGCCGAGAGAACCAACGGGTAGGTAGACCCTCTACGCGTACCCTTTAGGATCAGTTGCCACCATGTTCCGTCGTCCCACCTTCAGGAGTGATAGACGTATCTTCCTGTTGCAACGATGAACCTCTGAATCAGGTGCCACAAACAAGCATGGATATGTCTTGCCACGTTTAAATTCAGGTCCAAATGTCCATAGTTTGTATGACTTCTAACTGCACAATCCCTAATTCTCAAATCTCTTACTATGGTCCCTGGAATTTCATCTACGAAGCTACCGTATGATCTGATCGACAAGGGCTGGCAGTATATATGTGGCAACAAGCATGGATTCAACGAAGGTCACAAGGTAATGCGATTTCAGTGCTGCGACTCTGTTTCACATGCAGATGACATTCGGTTTCCTAACAAAATTCGCCTACGGTTCTACTGTTTCCAGGTGTGGCAGCAAATACAGAGTCTCATATATTTTTCAAGCAACTGACTAGTGTGACATATCACTTGCATGTTCTGTTTCAGTTTACCCCATTTAACAATCAACAGGGTAGGGTTTTGTTCCCGTCCCCCGCGTCTCTCTCTAAGGCGACTCGGGGGAACCCTAGCTCCCTCCGCCGCCAGCCCCCAAACATCCTCCCTCCCCCCTCACCGCCGCAGAGGGACACAGCCAGGCAAAGCCCAGGCAATGCCGGCGGCGGCGGGGCCTCTCCCTGGCGTCTTTCCCTGGCGTCT